GAATCCACAACGCAGAAGGATTCAGACTTGATCCCTTTAAAACATCATAGATGCCATGGAGCCCAAAACAACAGAGGAAGGACTGAGCCCCAAAGGAGAGTCAGGGCAGACTGCGGTTTCTGCTGCCCCTACGCCTTGTCCTCAGGCTGCTCTGCTGAGCTCTGTGGCGGGGAGCAAATGCAGAGAAAGGGTGGGTAGTGCGGGGACTCAGAAGTCTGCCAAGTGTGTTCTACCCAGGAAGAGGTGGCAAGTGTCACCTGTAAACGTGTACTCCTTTAAATGTAACCGATATTTACAAAGTAACGTTTATCAAGATCAAAACTCTGTGACATGGAGCAGGCGTTACGTGAAAGAAGTGGAGGAGGCTGCAGCAGAATAATGCATAATAAATAAGAATCCCAGGCTCAGCATTGTTCAAATGCTTCAGAACACACAGTCACATGGACACATGCGTGTGCACACACACACCCACAGCAGTAGCTACGTGTGGCCCTTTGGTCATTATTTTTAATCCAGGAATCCTACCATAATGTTTTGTTTATTTATTTTTTAGGTAGGAGTCAAGCTTGGATCTATTTACTATCATGGGAAAATTTTCAAAGGTATCATTTCAAGAATCCTAGGCTCAGCGGAGCCAAAGAAGGACTTTCTCACCCATTCCTAAAGCAACAAAGACTCAATCCACTACCCGGTCACCAGGCTAGGCTCAGGGCTGACTGTGCGGCAGTCCTCTGTTCGAGCTCCCCCTGGAGGGAGGAGCCCCCAGAGCCCTCGCTGGGCTCCAAGGGAAACTGAGACCCTTGGCAACCTGCAGAGTGCCTGGTGCAACCAGGCTGAGCAAGTAACAATGCAGAGAAAATAGGAGCATTATTGTGTGGATCTTCCCCATGTCTTGTTCAGGAAATAAGCAATAAGATGTCATATATGCACACAACTGTGATAGGTGTTCTAGAAATACAAAATCAGCAGCTCGAGGCCACCCTCTGGGGAAACTAAAAGTACACTGAGCACACCCATTCCTCTCGCCTTCCCAACACCTTCAAATTTGTTTTTATCTATGTTGTGGTCACAGAGCTCAGCAGAGCAGCCTGAGGACAAGGCGTAGGGGTAGCAGAAACCGCAGTCTGCCCTGACTCTCCTTCTTCTTCCTCCTTCCTCCTCCTCCTCCCTCTCATTCCTCTTCCTCGTCTTCTCATCAGTTTCTTCTTTCAGTATTGAGGACTGAAGACAGGCTTCTCACTGCGGTACAAGCCCAGCCTTTTTTACTTCTTGTTTTGAGACAGTCTCACTCACTTTGCTCAGGCAAGACTCCAATTTGGCATCCTCCTGCCTCAGCCTTCCAAGGTTCTGGGATTACAGATGCACTATGTACATCTTAAGTAATGGTGATCTTCAAAATTCTTTTCCAACTGTCCCTTCACTTTATGTTCCTTTATTGGCATACTCTCTTTCTTCCTTCTGGTTCCAGTTGCAGTCTGTTTCCTGAAGATCAGCACCTTAAATCTCTAGATCTCTATACTGAATTCTTCTGAGTGACAAACTTGTGCTTTCTATTTCCTGCTGAAATTCCCAACTACAGTGATTCAAAGCCCTTTCCAACCCAGCACCTCCCAACAGTAATTCAAGGCTGTCAGTGTTCAGCCAGCCAGCAACCCCCACAAGGAGTGCGGTGTAGCTCCTCTGAAGGAGATGTGGCATGGCCTGGATCCAGTGGGGAAGGACACCGAGAACGGCTGATGTGATACCACACACGGCCAGGAGCACACGCGCCAGCCGGGCTTCTGCTAGCTGCACTTTTGATAGGGTCCCAGTACATGGAGATCCAAGCTCAGCTCTGACCTTCATTACAATTCAAATAAAAAAAAAAAAAAAAAAGGAACATTTACCCCAAGGTAATTCGTTTGCTGCCCACCTCACTTGAAGAGTTTAGAGACCAGATGAGCAAAGAAGGATCCAGCAGCCTTAACCCATGTCCAGTATACCTGCATTTTCCTCAGATGTTCCTACGTTCCTCTAGTCCTGAAAATACCCAAGCGGCTCCCTGAGCTGCAGTTGAGAGCCAGCACTTGAATGCCAGGCATTTTCCTTATTCATTCTGTACCCACTTAAGCGCAGCAGCTGGCCAAGCCTGCTTCCCCGACTGCTGCCCACTGTGGCCTCCTGAAAGGGCCTCTTACAATCCCCCCAGGCAAGCCATTTCCACCTGCTTAGCTCTGAAACAGGCCCTTGGCTATCTGAGGTTGCACTGTTTCTGAGGAGGTCTTTCTGTTCCCTGCATCATCACAGTTGCGCTTTTTTGGTACAAAATTGCAGATAATGAAGAACAGGACCTTTCAAAAATGCACAACAGGGTTCCTGTCCTGAGAAAAAGTATCTTTTTATTGTGACTGTCTTGGGAATGAGATGAACTCTGCTGGCACAGCTTACAAAAGGCCACACAGTGGTGAAAATTCCGGGAGACAGGCGGGTCTCGCTGGAGTGTTCTGACACCCCATGGCATTCCTTCTTCCATAGTGACAGGAACCCAATGTTAAAAATGGTTATTTATTGTTTTTATAGCCTTTGAGTGGAAAACCATTCATTTGTAAGGCGAGTAAAACCCTTTAAACACTTACCATCAGCATCATGAAAGAGATCTTTAATAATTGCGTCCCTGGAGTTAACTGGGCAAGGCCACATTCTCAGCTTGTTTGGCATACGCTGGCCTTGTTCTTACCCAAAGTGCTATTTGGTGAGTCTATCTAAGGAAGGCCTACGTGTTTTCTTTTGTAATGCTAAAAATCACACACACACAAAACAACTGAGGTGAATGAATGAAGTTAAGCTTTTGAAAAAAGAAGAAAAAGACAAAGTCTCCCTAGTGCTTGCATTTGGAAATAATAAAGTTTGATGGAGGAAGAAGAAGGGGATAAGTGACCACAACATAGATAAAAACAAATTTGAAGGTGTTGGGAAGGCAGGAGGGATGGGTGTGCTCAGGGTACTTTTAGTTTCCCTGCTCCACCAGAGTCTCTCGGCTCTCTGCAGTGTGCCCCTTAGACACAAGCATGCCCATTCGTGAAGAGCACACTGACAGACAGACAGAGGAACTGGCACAACCTGTTTCCAAATTCAGGATGCAAAAAGGGTTATGGCTGCCACCATTGCCTCTATGCGACCCAGCTTGTCATCACAAAATATCTGAGAGATTTATGTTGACACATGGTGTCCAAAGGTTCAGTCCATGGAAAGGGTGCCCTGTTGTCTTGAGCCTATGGCAACACAGGATATCACGGTGGAGCATGGGATGGAAGAGGCCATTTCTTTTGTGGTAGCCAATGAGCAAAACAGAAAAGGGTAGGAGCCAGGATCCTAACACCCTAAGGACTCAGCTCCCCTCAGCTAGGTGTCACCTCCAAAAAGTGAGAGGTTCCACCACCTCGCAATAGCACCCCAGGTGAGGACCAGGCCTTTGGGAAACACTCAGGATCTGAGCCTCAGCATCTCCCAATCAATTGTTCATTCCTCTACATTCTTTTTAGAAAAACCAAAGAAAACAACATGGTGTTTCTCTTTATGACAGTCTTCATAAAAAACAAAGGTCCAAGAAATTCAGTTCAAAGAGAACAAGTACAAGAATTTGTCTTGATTCCAGTATCAAAGAGATGCTTGTCTGTCTGATTAGATTTATTTTACCTTTGCAGCTTCCTAATCTGCAGAGTTTGATGGATGATGCTTGTGTACTATTACTGGGTTGTTGCTGCACACACACACTCTCACACACATTCATACACACTTACACTTACACCAGACTCTAGAGGACCCCTATACTACATGCTGACATTGCACCTCTTCTGGGTTCATATTAGCTGCCTGGATGCTCTTCTAGAAAGTACATGAAGTTGAAGAAGGAGTATTCCAGGCAAACAGAAAGGGTCACGTTAGGCCAAGTGCTAGGAGAGGAGTAGACACACACAGACAGCGAGACACTGAAACAGTACCTCACTATTTAACTGCAAGTAACTCTGAACTACAGGATTATCTTGTTTTTTTTTTTTTTATTTTCTTTTGCTTTGTTTCTTATTCTTTTTGCATGTGTGTGTGTGTGTGTGTGTGTGTGTGTGTGTGTGTGTGTGTTACTGGGGAGAACAGGTGATATCTCTGACCTTTATCATTAATCATTATTTTGTTTTGAGACAAAGTCTCACTAAGTGATCCAGGGTGGCTTCAAACTTATCACCCTCCTGCCTCAACCTCCTGAGTAGCTGAGGTGAGAGTTTCTCAGCACCATCCACAGCTAATTGTTTCTTGTACTGTTTTCATTTTCTAATTTTCTTGTAGTATCTTCAATTCTCTTATATTTCTGCAAGGAAATCACACTACTTTCTTATATTTAGATGATTTATTATCCAAGAAAGTAAAAAAGCAAAATAGTGAAGTTGGAAAAAAATTAAATAGGAAAGAAATATTTTTAAAAGCATGCATGGAAGAGTAGTCCAATCAGATAACAGGAAGGAGGGGAGAAAATGAATTTAGAGACGCTACCTAAAACCCTGGGATAAGAGTCCCAGTGGCATGCATGGTATCTGGCCCTGGCAGGGGCTGAGGAGAAGGTTCTAGAGCAATAAGCAAGGGCACCACCTGGGTTCCGGAAGGAAGGTTTGCTGTCTGTGTGCCCTGTCTCTTAGGAGGCACTCTGTCAGATGCCTGAGAGTCATCACTGTGCTACTGTGGTTCTGGGCTGTTGGAGTCCTAGAGAGTTTTTCTAGCTCCTTTGTGTTTTGAACAAAGAACTGGACAGGAAAAGTGGTGATGAGGTCTTGCATTTATTAAAGGAAGGTAAAGTACGATCCGCAGAGGGAGCATGGGCCACCGGAAGAGCTTATAGTGGTCAGAAGTTTACTGGTGGCCACCTCTGTATCCCCCCATTGTGACGTCAGATCCAGGCCATCCTATCACAGATCTGCTTGATCTCAGGCTTTTCTGATTGGTCCCAGTTACAGGGCTGGGCACAGGTAACCTGGCTCTCTGCCATTGACAGGTTCCACCCACTTGGCCAGCAGGTTTACCATATCCTGGTACTTTGCCTCAATTAGAGCCCCGCTCCACCTTGTCTCAGCATTTGGGACATGATAGTCTGAACTGTAATTTTTTGTATTCATCCTGTTTGGTGTTCTTTGAACTTCTTGGTTTAGTGTCATTAATGAAAGGGTTTTGGTCCAGGCTGGATACTGTAGCCAGTAAAGCCAAAGAGCTCCTCTCTCCCCCACCCTTAGGAATCTACCTCTGGCGCCAAACAAAGACCAATGGGCTACCTGTGCATCCCTAATGTCCCCTTAGGTTCCATCCCAAGCCGTGGCTACTTATGTGCCTCACTCCACGTCTTCCACGGAGAGATTGATGACCCTGGGGTGGAGATGCCACGCCCCGTGGGGGATTAGGGGTGTCTCTCCCTGCATTCTCAAAATAAAGGTCATTTATATTTCATACTTCTTATCTTTTCAGCTGCCCCCGGGCCCCCACAGTTCTATCATATGGTTCCCTGATTGGGAATGGCAGATGAGAGACTCCTGGGGCTGGTTCCCAGTTTGAGTCCCCTGCCATTCAGGACCAGGACTAGACTGCATCCTGCATTAATTCCTCACTTCTACACTCAGGAGCTGTAAGCTTGTCGCTGCTGGTTTGCAAACAACACTGACCAATTTACCACAGGTGAGCAACTCCCTGGAGACAGCCACTGGGCCAGGCCCAGGTGAGTTTTCTCCCCCTTTGCGTGGGTTTGTTATGCTCTCATGTCCTCAGCCCAAGACAGGGTCTTTCTGGGCAAACCTGTGTCCACTCTGGACTGCCCACACTGAGAGGCCCTTCAGTCCTTCAGAGCTTTTTAAGTTCTCACGGCAGAGTGGTTGCTCGGCCCACGTAAAGTCCACTCATAATATTGGTGATGTCCAATTATTAGAAGTTTTGGAGCCATATAACCCGTTGGTCTGAGGTGCAAAGTGATGACTTTAAGCTTGGCAGATCATGGCCTCATCTGGTTCTAACCCCGTGGACTAAACCCCACACCAGATTTTATCTCGGGGACCACTTCCTGCCCCCCCCCCAAAAAATACCTATCTATGGCTTATCACACTGCCCACAAGCTTACAAAACTATCTTTAAGTCTTTGTTTTGGGAATGTGTGTCCTTTCCTGCTCCTCCAGGATCCCTCCCTCTCCCCACACTTAGAGATAACAGCATCTTCCCTTGCAGCCTTTCAGAGCTCTCTCAGTGTCTCCTTTCCTCCCTGCTTCCCCTCCCCTCCCCGCTGCACTGCCAGCGTCCCTTTGTTTCCCGTGCGTGCCAACCCATTCCCCACCAAGATAAAAAATGAGACCAAAACAGTGTTAAGAGATACACACAAAACTGCTTTGGGCTTTAAACAGTTGTTTTGGCTTTCATGCCGCAGCCCCCAACCTCATGCATGGTGTTTCAGCTCTCAGGCTGTGACTGAGGTCCACACTTGTGATTCGGCTTTAATGTCGCACCTTAATCCGTTCAGCTTTTAACACCGTGCCCTAAGGTGCGTGTCCCGCAAACAACTCCTCCAAGTGGCGATTTGGCAGCTGCCGGCCACACGACCCCTGGCTTTGAGCTGCGTTGGGGTGCCTCCCAGCCCTGCTGCCGCCACTGCCGCTGCCGTCGCGAGTCTGCCAGCCCCTCCCCATATGCCATTGTCGCCGCTGCCTTGAGTGTTTCTGGGGTGGTCCCAGCCCCTCCCAGCCCCTGCGTGCTGTGTCCCGGCACTCACCCTGCCCACTCTGCGTGTTCCACCTACAGGCTGCGTGCCAGAGAGATCCCAGCCCCCGCCCCCAAGCGTCAGTATGCTCTCTACAGGCGCGCTTTGCCTGCCACGGCAGACAGGCACAGTGGATAAACTCATTGCTTATCTGGCACTGTATTTGAGATTTTAAGATATTAAGTTCAGATTGTTTCTGCTGCTTTTTTTTGTGCATGTGTTCCAGCCATGACAAAAGTTTTCTTTTAGATCCAGATAATTATAAATTTCTTTTTGCTAAAAACCACTAGACAAGGGTTTTCTTCAAAGTTTTATTTGTCTTGGTTCATACTACTGCAAATAATAGATTTTAAAAAGTAAATGTGTTCAAAATTTGACAGTATTAGATCAGTTTTGATAGATTTATTCATAAGATTGGTAAACGTTTACTACAAAATGTTTCCATTAAGATTTTACTCCAAAAGGGGGAGGGCAGATTAAAGCCTTTTTTGTTAACTATGTAATTCCATGTGGCACCCTATAAAAAAGCAGTGTGCCATTCAGATAAAGCCTGATCTCTAATCTAAAATGGCAATATTAAACTCCTACATACTTACTTAATTCTACTGTAATCCAGATCTCAAACAAAAAGGCAAAACTTGACATTCAAACGCCACAGAGACCTTCTTAATATGGCTTTTAAAAATATTTTTCAACAACAGAGATAACAGTGACACTTAGAGTTCTGAGGCAGGTAAACCTACACAAAGTGGAGCTGCCTGGCCCCCCATGGACCATGCTCAAATGCAGCAGAAGACATTGGGCAAGAGAGATGCCTCATCCTGGCATTCTGTGAGACCTTACTCCAGGGCTGCTGGGCTGTCCTAGCCACCAGAGAATGGGTAAGCCATCCTAACTTCTAGCCCTCACAGGACACTGTCAGATTCGTCACCGACAGAAAATTGCTGCCGAAGACTAAATGGGCTCAGGGCCAGCAGGCCCCTTTGTGAGTGTCCGTCTCAGAGTCCAAGTCACATTAAACTCTCAGGTAAAATGTTCTCTATATTTATGGACATAGAGGCTATATATACAGAGTTTTTCCTGAGTTTTCAGGCTGCTATATTAAGTCCTCAATCTCTATGACGGGGTATTGATGATCAACCTATGCCATTTACAAACAGGGCCTATTTCGTGCAGGTCCCAGTCCTAAATCTTAAAATGCCTTTTATGCAGGCTGACTTAGACACGCTGAGGCCTCAACAGCTTCTACCTGTTATCGCTAGTAAACCTCTCCTCAGTGATGTAAGACCACCCCCTTCCTTTCTTATTACCAATTTCTCAGGCAACCCTGGTCAAGACTTACAGATACATTTTGTCTTCTCACTTTGTTTATACTCTTTTCAGGATACATAAAAGCCTTTCTCACAACCAGTAAAACTGCTGATATACTTGCTAAAGTTCTGTTGCAGCAAATCATTCCAAGGACTACAACCAGGTTATAGCGATCCATCCTGATATTCTTGGTAACCTCAACAGCAATCAGAGTTGCTAGACTGCCATCCTGGTTTCACATCACTCGGGCCCTAAATCTAACCATCCTTTTCCTACTCATCTCTGCCTTACCAAGGCCTCACGGCCACGACTCACAGGTTGTCATGTTTTGTTATCCACTTTGGTTCCTAATTTCTTGCGTTCCATTAATGATCATTTTTACAGCAGGACTCTTAACAGTATTTCCTACAGACTCCAACATCATGCATACCAGAGACAAGCCTTACTGAACTACCTTTTACCCTTTCAGATGGGAGAGTAAGCACCTCTCATAACTTCACTCCTCCTAACCCCATGTTTAATTTTTCAGAATTCTGCTTTACCATGGAAGTGTTTCTACCTCAACATGGTCCTGATATAATGATATATCTAAATCAAAGGCACGTTTCCCTTCTACTTCTACTTGGGTCCTTAAATATTACAGTGCCATGCCTCCTCATAACATCTTGTCTCTTTGTTTTTCCAGTCTACATGCATTCACCAGTAAAGTTGTCCTGGCTAAAACACCTGACACCAGCTTCTACCTGGGCATCAACCGTCATCCCGTCAACTCCCCTAGATCCCAGTGTAGTGCCCTCAGCCAGCAGGAAGCAGTTAAAGAGAGAAATCTTCACCTCTTTTCATAATAATAATTGTAAGATGGGATATGAAAGGGTTTTGGCCCAGACAGGACACTGTAGCCAGTAAAGCCAAAGAGCTCCTATCTCCCCCACCCTTAGGAATCTACTTCTGGCGCCAAACAAAGACCAATGGGCTACCTGTGCATCCCTAATGTCCCCTTAGGTTCCACCCCAAGCCGAGGCTACTTATGTGCCTCACTTCATGTCTTCCACGAAGAGATCGCCAACCCCGGGTGGAGATGCAGCACCCCGTGGGGGAGTTGGGAGTCTCTCCCCGCATTCTCAAAATAAAGGTCATTTATATTTCATACTTCTTATCTTTTCAGCCACGGCCAGTCCCCCACAGTTCTATCAATTAACATTGGAAAATTCTCAGCCATTATTGCTTCAAATACTTCTGCTCTATTATCCCTGTGTTTTCCCTCTCTAGTATCTGAATTATGACTGTTTCACCTCTTGACATTATCACATTCATTTTTTTTTCCAGTACTGAATATTGAATTCAGGGTCTTCACACTGAACTACATCAGCAATCTTTTATTTTTTATTTTATTCTATTTCTTCTTATTTTTTACCTTTTATATTGAGATAGGGTCTTACTAAATCACTAAGCTGCCTACATTGGGATGGAACTTCTAATCCTACTGCCTCAGCCTCCCAGGGTGCAAAGATTACAGGGATGCACCATGACACCCACTTTAAAGGTTTTTTTTTTTTTCACTCATTTCCTTTTATTGTTTTAGACTGAATATATCTATTAACTTACTTTTTAAGCTCACTGATCTTTTCTCAACCTTATCTAGTACATCAATGTGTCTATCAACAATGTGCTTCATTTCTGTTATACTGTTATTGATTTCTAGAATTTTTTCCCTTCACTTTGCGTGTATTGCCAAGTTGTTTTATATGCTCTGTACTTATTCCATTAGAACCCTTATCTTATTACACACAGTTTTTATCTGATAGTTACAGTTACTATCATAGTTAATATCTGAAAACTCATAGTTATCATCTGATAGTTCCAAAATCTGCAGTGTACTTGGATATAGTTTGATGCTTGTTGTGTTTGTGCAGAGTGCTGTGTTCACGCCTGGCAGTTTTTGCTTGCTTGTTTCCACCGTATGGTAGTGGGACGATCAGTGTTGGAGCGCTGTCTTTGGATGTGGTGTGGCTTTAGTCCGCTGCAGGTCAGACCGGGCTGTATCTAACATATGCTGTTGCTGCAGATGCCAGAGGCCCTGGCTCCAGGAGTGCCCTGCGTCTTCTCTCTCCCGTGGAGTCAGGGTTTCCTAAGAACTTTCTCATCCTGCAGCTTTCAAAGCTGTAACCCACCATTATACTAGTGCAGCATAGACAGGGGAAGCATTTTGTAAAAGCCAGGTGAGGCAGTCTAGCTTTTCAGAGCCCCAAGTTAGAAGGCTGTGACCTTTGCAAACATTGCTTCACTGTTTTCCTCTCCATACGTGAGACAGGAAGGCTGGCAACGGCGGAACTGGAGAAGTGGCCTTCCTCGTGGTGGAACAAGCTCTGTTGTCTTTCCCTTGGTGGTGGAGAGGGGCTGCAGAATGGAAATCATTCGCAGCTCGTGCCTTCCTCTGCAGGGCCACACAAGGCTCTCGGGCTTTTCACAAGGGAGCCTAGCGGAGTTCCTGGAGGTGGAGCCCCTGGAAGTGAGTACGGTCCCCATGAGGACTTTCTCCCTCTCTAGGTGCACCGCACTCAGCCCCAGAAGTTCAACATGAAGTTTCAAGTATTGCTCCACTGCAGTGTACAGTTCCAGAGGCTTCAGCTCCATTTTCTAAGGCATCCATGAAAAGTCACGGACTGTCAGTGCGTTCAGCTCTTTAATGGTAAGGGCAGATGTGCCGCCTTAGGCATGGGCCGAGGGGCTGGCCCTGGAAGTCTTCTTTTCTCCATTCTTTGTGATGCATAGATCAAAGCTCCCTAGTTTTATTCTTTTTTTTTTTTTTTTTTTTTTTTTTTTTGTCTTTTTCCTTTTTATCGGTACCGGGGATCGAACTCACGACTGCCTGCTTGCAAGGCAGGCGTTTATGCCGCTGAGCTAAATCCCCAGCCCCAAAACTTATATGATGTATATATTTTATATGTACCACTATACTTAAATTCATCCTTCTTATCCCCACTAGTGTTGTCACTGGACCTGACCCAACAAGCTTCTCAAACTGATGTTGGGAATCGTTAGGTAGAATTTAAAGTGCAGACTCAAAGAAAACACAACAGGAAGGTTGAGGGGTGAGATAAAGATCAACAGGCATTCTAGGGTCAGGAGCTGTGGACATTCATAGGCTCTGATCAGTAGAATTTGTGAAATTTGTGAATCTATAGAAAGTTGATGCTTGGCTAACTAAGAGCTCTGGTTCAGCCCCAGGAGTACAGATAAGGTACATTTTAACAGGTGAAAGGACGGCCCAGTTTACAAGAGAAAGTCTATTGTATCTGTGCTCTTTACCTTGTAAATAACCTAATTCATGGACTTCAGGTTTTGTGGGACTGGAAGAACAGCAGCATAGAGCAGCCCAGAGATCCCAGGTGTGGCTAACACCGGGTAACCGACTGCTTCCGGAAGCTGCTTTCTTCCTGAAAGAACAGTTTTAAAATTACGATTCAGACACGAAGGATTAAATACCCCATGGTTTCTCTAATGTGAGAAACCCAAGGTATAAATAATATAAAGAACACAGTAAGGTAGGTTATAGGGAACAGGGAGGGAAGGGAGCCAAGAGATGGATGCCGGGGAGGAGAGGAAAGTGGGAAGGGTAAGGTGTGTTCTGTCTTCCTACCAGCTTCTCAGGATGAAGGAGCCCATTATGCACTGCAAAGTGAAGCCACAATACACAAAGCAGTCTTCCCCTCGCCTCCTTATACTTCTCTTTGTTTCTTTCATTCTGTGTCGTTACTGCTTTCTTTGCCTTCAACATGTATTATTTCGGGTATTTCTCAAACAACCCCCAGGCCCCCAAATCTTGTCCAGTTATCGCACTCTAGTACTGATATAGGGGAACGAAACTCCCAACCTACTGGATGTCCAGTAGGATTTCATGTTCTCGAAAAGAATGACTTTTTGGAACAACAGAGTTTAAGAGCAGAATGTATCTTTTGAGAAGAAAGAGAAAGCTTCTGTCCAAGAGAGACTCAGAAGGGGTCCCCAGTGGGTTGCCAAAGTCTCTGTATTTTCTAGGGACTTTAACAGAGCAAAACCACAAGGTGAGGTGGGTCCAGCAAGGTGGGCATGAGGTGGGACAGACCTGTGGTCTACCAATAAGATTAACAGCACAAGTAAAATTGATTAAGTCAGAGACAAATGGGGAGTCACTTAGCAAGCGGGGGTGCTTACAGAGCAGAGACTCTTCCTGTAGGGGACTGGGATGGCGAATCCTGGCTTCCTCAAGGTGATACCTATTTAGAATATTATTCCCTGACGTTCAGGATGTGGCTGTGTTTGTTTGGCCTTTTGTCTTGAGATCTGGCCCAGAATGGGAGGTGTCTGTCTCCTCCAAGGTCACAAGGTATCCGGCCTTCTGCACTGGCTCCTGAAGGCCAGCCCTGTCTGACTGCCTAGAATATTTCTAATTAACTCAGCTGCCAGTAGCAGTATATTTCAGCACTGTACCAGTGTCTGACAGTTTCACTCTCTTAAAGTGTTACGGCTTTGGGGAAAGATTACCCCTCACTCTCTTGGAGTCTGGCTGGCCTGAGTCCACCTCTGCTTCAAACCATCTTTCTGAAATGAAAATGTGCTCCTGTCCTGACCTGGCTAAATATGCTGAAGCACTTAGCTCGCTCTGTGTAGTAAGAGACTTACCGCCTGAAAAGCTCATGTATGGGCTTCTGTTTGCAGAACTACAATATCCTGACTTTCAAAGATTTTTTTCCCTTCTCTTTTGGCTCCCACCAATTTTCTGAAGTACCACTTGTTTCTTTGATTTCCGCTGCAGCATGGAGTAACGTGGTATTCTGAAACCTCCCAAACGGGAAGCCAGGCCGAAGCAGAGTAACAAAGAGCCTTTCACACCGAGGAGCAAGGAGCGGACCCCGCTGTGTGTAAAGCCTCCCCTGTGCCCCCAGCCCCCAGCTGCAGATCTGCAGGAGGAGGGTTTTTGTGCTCAGAACCCTGGGAGTACTTTGCAGTCACTTCGGGAGGCTCGTGCCTCTGCTCACTGGCCGGATCTTCTATTGAAGAGCTATTGGGGAAGCCTCGCAGGGTTTCATGAGTTTGCTCTTTGGGACCTGAGTCTTTTCCTTGAAGACTCAGCCAGCATTGGCCCTTGGGAGACACACGTCGTCGGTGTGGCCGCACTGTTTATCAAACACTGCAGTCCTCCTCCTGGATGGGATAATAGTTCATGCAATAAGCACTAAAATTAATTAATTGTTTGCCGCACATATGGGTTTTCTCATCAACCTTGTGCTACTTTATTGCAACACACTTTGTTTTGCTTCTCTGGTCTGGGCCCTCGAGCACGGAAGTGGGGGGTAGAGAAGCACCCTCTTATTCTGTTCAGATTCTAGTTGAAGACCTTTTAAGTGTGAATCTCCTTAACCAGGAGCAGGAAGACCCACCCCAGGGAGAAGGGAACTTCAAAAGCTAAGCCCCCTGCAGGGTAGAGGGAGGGGAGGGTGCAACACCTCAGGCAGAGGCACAGTGACAAGCTAGACGGAGATGTGCATCTCACATCTTCGGAGGGTGCCCTCAGATGTGCATCAGGTCTGGGCTGCGCAAACTTGGGGTGCCTGCTGCATTGCTGTCGGTGGGCTTGACTAGGGTGCAAACCACTGAAAGGCAAAAGACAAGACAGGGTCCCCATCCCTGCTTTGGGCTCGAAGATTAATTGTTATTGCAACAGATCAGGGCCCAGGAACCCTGGGCTGCTGACCACCAGCGGGGCAGGGAAGAGAGGGTGGAACGGCATGAAGGGTGCAGAGGCCCAGGTGCCCTGGCCGCCCCGGTGTGCACAGACGCGTGCGCAGTGGCCTGAGCCGGAGGTGGGGGGCTGTACAGGCAGAGAGGCCACTGCAAAAAGACTGCATGTGGGAGGCAGGAGGAAAGAGAAGGTGACTGGGCGTATTTCCGGGGTGTCAGGGGTCAGAGGTGTGGGGGCAGGCGTGGGAGGCGAGTGTGAGAGCAGGGAGCAGCAAGGAGCTGACGCCTGGTTACCTGCCCTTCTGCCTCTGCGCCCCCTTGCTCCCACCGCGTCCCCCCATCCCTGCTCCGGCTCCTGTGAAGCTGGAGGCAGAGCAGCAGCCCCTGGCTGTGGGCAGTGGCACCACGAATCCAACCCCAGAAACCCCATTACCCCGTCACAGAGAGTCAAGTCCTCTCCACAAAGACGCAGCTGCCTAGTCGCCTGATGACCTTCATCGCCGTGAAGACGTCCTTGGTGTGCAAAACCCCAGGGTCAGAATGAAGCATCACAGAGCTAGTGACGCTTCTGTGCATCAAACCGCCCCAGTAACCTGGCTGGTGGTTTATCTGGGTGTCAGGGCCTTGCTTAGCGTGCGCGAGACCCCGGGTTTGATCCCAGCACCAAAACCAACAAACAGACAGAAAATCCCAACAAAATAAAGCAAACAAAACAAAACAAAACCTACTAGTATAAAAGTCATTAAAATAATTTATGAATGATTTTTACGACAAATTTGAATACTTCGAAAATGTGGCGAATGAAAGGTACATTTTGCAATCTTGATTTATTCATTAAACTTCTGAGCTGCCTTACATGTTCTTTTACAAGTGTATTCACATGTCAGATGTTATGAGCGCTGCATGGCTTTAAATGCCTGCAGAGTGGTGCACAGGCTTTGGCCACTCGGGCTGCGTGATGCCTGCACCACAAATCCCCCAGAGCTCACCTGGGGCACAGCCTCGGTGACCAAGGCGACTTCCTTCTTTCAGACTTGCTCCTGACCATAAGCTGTATCTTCTCCTCCTGCGGGCGGTCCCTCCGCCACTGACTGCCCAAATCATTACTTATCTATTTATTTACATTTCCTCTTCCTTTTTGCCCTTTAGGGTAAGAAGTTGCTCCCAGGGCCCTCCCAAGTGTGTTGGTATGATTGCCCTCGCTTCCCCTGCCCTGGTGCTGGACAGTGCTTGTACTTTACACTGATGAGCGCACATCACATCTGAAGGATCTGTTCCCCCCGGCCCGTTCTCCCCCCAAACTTGTGTACAGAAGTATAGTTATCTAGGGAGACACTTAAAACTAAGGTGAGATTTCTTAAAACTCAAGAACCACGTGGGGCAAATACTGACTTAAGGCAAAAGGCAGCTAGGACCCATCTGTCTGACCCGACTTTCGCTTCCTAACCAGGCACCCTGTTCTCATAGGACGCTCAGGTCCTATTAGCTTCTCAATGTTCATACCTGCGAACCCAACCAGACTGTGGCTCATCCTGGGCTCCTTCCTCAAGTTCTCCAAGCCAGAAGTTTTCCTATCTATTTCTGATCACAACGCCCCTAAACCTGAGTTTGCATCCTAAGTATCGTTACTCGTCTCCTCTCCGCTCCCTGTCCCCAGTACTCTACATGCTCTGCCTATATTGTGAGCTCTTGCACTGTATCTTGCTTGTCAATCCAGCTGAAAGGTCTGTTCCAGCACAGAAGCCTGTTTTGGTACATCATCAGTCTCCCAAATGGTGACGACAAGCTTTCTATACTGCCAAACACCTCCTCCCACTATTGGCTGGGCCTGCCGTGCAATGAGATGTGATTCTACCCTAATGGATGAGTCTTTCCTAAGTTACTGGCCATCCCCTAAAGTTACATCTTACTCTGAGTAACTAGCTGTGCCTAGATAATGAGTATTGAGACAATACATTAAACATCCCAACTAGATTTGCTTAATCCCATATACTTTATAGCAAACACATTGACTTATTTTGCAGTTAATTGGATTCTGGGAGTCAAACTTTCTGTTATAGTCACAGGAGCTGGACCTCTTTCTATCTATAATTAATCCTTCCACTTGAGCTTTGAATTTGCCTATTCCCTGCTTCTCAGAATGTTCATATGTGATTACTTGATAAATATCCACCTCTCACACCCGCTGTAGTTTCCAGGAGACCAGAGATCTTATTCTATTTTTGATTCCCATTGTATCCTTAATTCTGGGCAGAGTGCCTGGCACATAAGAAGTGCTCAATAAATATCTATTAAATAAACAAAAGAAAATAGTAATGCCTGTGAAAGTATGGGACTGTATAAACTCTATCTTGAATTCATTATTATGTTACTCAGACTCTCAAAATAATTTAAATGATGAATGAAGATACTCTTGGGGAAATATAGAACTTAATAGTATGGTAGAATGCATGGACTTCGGAAGATTGTTATATATTAATTTCTGAGGAAGGTTTACTGCATAGACATTTAGATCTAAATACAGAGGAATATCCCTGGATAAAAGTCAAGACCAGCTCTCATGATTTACAGCATTCTTGAGCTCTTCTTGCTGGCTTGTACCCACATTTCTCTTTTGAAATCTGTTTAGATGGTTTTTTCCTTTCCATGTTTGCAAAAACACAGAATCAGATAGATGAGAGCACAGTTCCTGGCCATTGCACAAGAGAAGGGCAGGCTCATTGGGGACATGTTGTGGTCAGTCTGCATCTCCCTGGTTCACGATGTAATTTAAGTGGCATTTCCTGCTTCCACGCTGGAGCTCCAGCTCCAGTCCATGCATCAAGAGCTCAAAAGGTCAAATCTGTTTTCTTCCTCTTTTCTCTGTAGAACAAGGAATCCCCCGCCCACCCCGCCACACACACAAAAAGATCTCAAAGAAGACCTGAGGGCCTAACAGTGCTGGCTCCAGTTCTGCTTTGCAAAAGCACTGAGCCAGAGAAATTTAATACCATCCACATGCACTCACCATATGCAATTTCATATCTTCCAGGAGCCACATGTTTTAGTAGCCACATTTAAATAAAGCAAAAGAGATGGTTGAGAGTAATTTTAGTGATATATTTTAGTTCAACCATGAAAAATGTACTGTATTCCACATGTAATGCTGTGAAAGGTTATCAAGATGCTTTGTGTTCTTTGGAAGCTGGCATGTACTTCATGCTTGCATGTCTCAGCCCACAGAGGCATCTCAGAAGCTCAACAGCCACGTGTGACCAGTGGCAAACAGTGGGTGACATAGTTCTGCACTGCCATTCCCCACACAGCAGAAGAGATGCCCAGCCTTGCCTCACCACTATCAGAGGGACCCTGAAGAAGATGGGCAACTTGAAACTTCTGGCAAGTTGTGATATTTGAGAAGCAAGACCTCTCGGGATCCTTCCTGGGGCTCAGAGCCCCATTCGCAGCTTTGCTCAGCATGGCCAACTCCACAGGGCTGTGGTCACTCCAGATCCTATCTGTGCCCCTCAGGGCCCAGGCACAGGGAGGGTTGCTCTGTCTTTTGTGTTCCCAGCAGTCAAGATGATCAAAGCAAAGGGGCCCAGCTTCACACCATAGTGTTTTCTAGGTTCAATTTGTTCTTGCCACATTTGACTTCATATAACTGAAGATCAATCGGGCAGGAAGTGGCCCTTCAGACCCAGTACCTGTAGAGGCTGACACCTGGAATATTGGTTAACTTAAAATTTTAACAGAAGGGACCAGTGAATTGAAGAGAACACGTGAACTGACCTCTATTGTGATGGACACTGAATAAGCACTGTTCCATTCTCATACACAGCAGGGACGCCATGGGCAGCGGGCAGGAGCCAGTCTGGATGAAGGGTGTCAGGCGGCAGGGCTCCAGTCCCTGTTCTGTCCTTCCCTCCCCAACCCCCGGCTTGTCCCCAGTGGTTTTCTTTTAATGCTTCGTATGGATAAATTGTTTCTGTGCCAAGGTTTCAGAAGCTGCCCACCTGGGAGAATTGCCTATTTTGATTCTGTCTGAATCTTTTTGCCTGGCTTCCCGTACTGTGTTCTGATCCCTCCATCTGGCGGAGATGCCTGCTTTCCTTCAGGCTTTGCTGCGTGAACACAGTCTGTTCTTGTGCAGTCACTCAGAGAAAAGCCCTCCAGCACCACATTGCTCAAGTGCATTTTATCCTTTTTCTTGCTTTCTGTTTTTTAAAGTAATGCATGTTTATTGTGTGAAAATGAAAAAAACTAAATAACATATGAGAGAAAATAAAAATCACACGTCATTGCATCACACAGCTCCCTGTGAATTTTAATGTCTTTGCTTTAAACTAACTTGGAATCATATTTTGCATGATTTTTCATGTGATCTTGTTTCTATGTCATTAAAGCATAATTAGTATTAATTTTTAACTTTAATTCTGTGCATGATCATAATTTACTTAATGATCTCTTCCACTGTTGAAAATGTCAACTGTTTGCAATTTTTCTCTATTGAAAATTATGCTTCAATAAGCAGTCTCATGCAAAAGATTGTGTTTCAGTGAACAGCATTGTACTTAAATATTTAACTGATTTTATAAATTTATTTTCTTAGGAATGGAATTGATAAGTAAATGAGCTTTATAAATGTTTGCTATGTGCATTGCTGGAACAACACTGTCTTTTCTGGTGTTGGCTTTCAAGGCAGCTTTTCGCCAGTCCATGGATTGGAACCAACACTTACAAACATTATTGTAATGTTTGCTCGCAGTTATTCAGGCTGGATGTCCAGTCAGGGCAGCAGCCCTGTTAGGTCCCGTGATGAACTGTCTGCAGTGTGCACACTTTTGGCTTCCCCTTGTGTCTGTCTATGGCAGGGTCGGAACCAGAGTGCTTGCTCTCTGGCCCTTCATGTAAGGTCACACACCCTCCTCAAGAGTGCTCCACCTCATGACTGAATTACTTCCAAATGTCTCCCCTTCTAAAGCCACCACCGTGGGACTGAGATTCTGACATCTGAAAGCTGAAGTGACACAAGTGTTCAATCTGTAACAATTGCTATGACAATTTTTCTTCTAAGACAATATTTGTAAGACTATTTTATGCATAGAGATGAAATTTTGGTCTGTCATATTCATTGTAATTACAGATAACCCAGGTGGCCTTTACCCTTTAGTTTAATTAGTTGTATTGGGTTTTGCAGCACACATGTGTGTGTGCACGCAAGTATGTGTGTGTGCACATGTGCGTTCAAGCATTCTACAGCAGCTGTTTGGTCATAAGCATGACCGCGCTTCTAATCCCTATTTATTCCACTCTGAACAGCCCACCCACACACGTGTCTTCCATTTTACATCAAAGGCAGAAACTTACCTCTCCAGTCCAGGGATCCCAAAGTAGACAGAGACCACCTTGAAGAAATGTGTGGGCTGGCTTTTGTCTAACAGACGGGAAATTAGAGGCATAAGGATAAAGCCTATCAAGTTTTAGAAGAAACTGTATTGAATTGAACTATAAGAGACAAAGGCAGAATGGAAGTGAGAGAAGCCTTTGGAACTCCTGGGCTACTGTGGGCAGGAGGAAGGCACAAAGGATTCCGTAGCTGTGTATGTGGCCCATTTGTACAGAGAGGGAACCCAGACTACCAGAGCCCAGAGCCCAGAGCCCAGAAGTCAGGAGAACATTTCCCAGGGATTAAGACTCAACTTGAATACAGGAAATGAAAGCGTGTATGTATTTCAGGATTTCTAGGGACCAAAGGTTGCTCTGAGCCTCTTTTAAGTGGGAACATGCATTGCACATGTCCGTTGCCTGTCTCATCCTTGTTTACCAGGCAGGATAGGACTTGATAATTAGTTGCATACGTTAGTTTGACCAGGCCATGGGATGCCCAGATATCTGATCACATATTCTGTGGTTCTCTGCAGGTGATTTGGATGAGTTTAACGTTTAAACCAAGAGATGGAGTAAGGCAGATTGTGATCTCTAATGGGATGGGGGGTTCCTCATTTCTTCAACCGAATGGCCTAAGAGCATAGAAGGTAAACTCTGGAGAAGAGAGAGGATCTTCAGGCCTGGCTGCTTGTGAACAGGAACACGTTCTTCCTCAGTCTTCAGACTTGAGTTGAAATTTGCTCTGGCTGGGCTGTGGGCTGCTGGGTGTCACACTTGGACTCCACAGTTCCAAGGCTTTTGGATTCAGACTGGACCTGCATCATGGCTCTGCCAGGGCAACAGACTGCTCATCCTCTCACCACTGCCCCTGGTGCCCATCAACCTCTAAGGCCACAAGAGAATCGAGAGAAGAGTTAGTGATGTATATTCACAAGCACACACACACACACACACACACACACACACACACACACGCAATCTTGATTTTGTGCCCTCTGAGCAGCATTTCCCCAGCCTTTCTCAATCTCTGCAACCAACTATTGCTCTGCTTTGGTGCATGAGAACTTTGAGACTCTGCAAATATGTGAGATCGTTTGGTGCTTGTCACACCTGTTAGAATAACCAGGATCAAAAAGGTAACAAATGTTGGTGAATGCGGAGAAGAAGGAACTCTTGTACACTGCTGGTGGGATTGTAAATTGATGCAAACAGTGGAAAACAGTATGGAGATTCTCCAAAACATTGAAAGTCGATGACTATTTGATGTGAGCACCCCATTCCTGGCGGATACCCAAGGGAAAGGAAGTCAGTGTGTCAAGAGACACCTGCCCTCCCACATTCACCGCAGCATAGTGGGGAAGAAGGGAGCAATGGAAGCGTCCAGCACTGGAGGAATGGCTAAAGATGTGGTGTCTACGCCCAGGCCAGGAGTATCCAGCCTCAAAACCGAAAACATTCTATATTTAAAACAGAATTCTTGTTGAGATGTTGACTGACCTCATTCTACATTTTCTATATACAAGGCTTCTATTTTAGTAAAGTAACATGCTTTGCTATCTTGATATTTACTTTGATCCCTGCTTGGGTCAGAAAATGTCATGGTTTGCATCCAGATTCCTTCCCCAGGCCTCTCGTGCTATAGGTGGGTGTGGGGAAGTGACTGAGTCATGCACATAGATCCCACTGAGAGCTGCACATTTGGGCCCCTGGGAGATGAAGCCCAGTAGGGGAGGTGGCCACTGGGGCGTGGCCGGGGAGGTCTCTCTCCTCCTCCTCCCTTGACCTTGCTCTGCTTCCTGCCGACCATGCTGTGAGCAGTTTCCCCCTGCCATGCTACCCTGCTGGAGCCAACTGACTGTGGATGGAACCTCTATAAACTGTGAGTCAAAATAAATCTCTCTTCCCTAGAGCTGTGTCAGGCAATATGTTGCAGCAATGAGACAGTATGTGAGGCAGATAATAATTTAAAACTTAAAAGAACAGATGCTTTTGGTAGTTTGTCACTCAATTTTGTGTGTATGGTTTAATATCACGGCACCCGATTATTTTATTTCATTAACTTTTACGTGTTGGGAATACACATCTCTCTTCCCATTGTAGAGGATTAACTCTTGTGCAGACAATGTTGATACTTTACCCTAATTCACAGTTTTAATTAGTTCATCCTAGCTATTTTAATTTTGCCTGTTTGCCATCCAAGGCTGAGAAAGAAATACTAGCATCCTCCAAACCATGCTGTCTCCACATATTTACTTGTGTCCTTAAGTTTTGCTTTCTTATGATTTGATGCTTTATGCCCATGTTATTTATTATAACTATCATGATATCTCTTTTCCAACATATTAAAATGGGTGATTGATAAATGCTTTCTCTTTTTCAAAACCCCTTAATTGTGGAACAGTTTTATATTTATAGAAAATTTAAAGCAAATACTCTTCCCCTGTCTTCTTTGATTTTTTTTTTATTTTTATTTTTTAAAGCCAGTCAAATTTAGCAGTGGGGGGGTGGTGGTGGTATACCAACTTTAGTGACACTAATGTTAATAAGTTCTAATAACCCACTGCCATCGGACTAGCCATCTTCTTTGATCTTAACAGCTCACACTACTACGTTAGCATCTGTCACTCCAAGAAACCCAACTTCGGCACATCACCACAAACGTGGCCAGGGACTATTCAGATTTCACCACACTGATTGGTTGACCTATAGTTCTAATTCTATTCTAAACGTTTTCAGAAGTACCACACACCTTAATGTCTTCTGGGCTGTGACACTTTGTCAGCTTTGCCTTGTGTCATACGATCTTCCCTGTGGGATTGTAAATATAACTTTTTGGATTGTGAGGAAGACTAGAAAAGGGATTACAATGCTTGGATGACTGTGCACAATATCTGGGATTACAATACTTCACCACCAGCAGGTGTATTGGAATGGCCGTGGATTTGGGTTGGGCTGGTATTGTCCTACCGGTGAGCAGCAGGCAGGGCTCACAGTCACTTCAATCACCAGATGAAGGCATGCTGGGCAGTTTCCTGCATGGTAAAGCCTGCCCCCCATTTGCCCTACTCCCTTTCCCAGGCTGTTCTTTGGAACCAAGTCACTGCAATGCAACCAAGTTGAAGACCCAGGGTGGGGTGGGTACACCTCTCGAAGCAGCATGTTTTCATTTTTGCTTGTATTTTGAGATTTCCTACTTGTCTAGATTTTTGTCTGTCTAGCTTTTTCAAATTTTTGCTGACTTGAGCCATTTTATTTTTAGCATTCTGGTTTTATAATTGCACTTTATGAATCCCTGCTTGTCTTCTGTCAGAAGGGATTTCTAAGGACCTTCCCTTCCTTGGCTGACTGACTTGAGAAGGATGCTGCTGGCCTCTCTTGTGCACATCAGAAATCAGTCCGCCAGGCTGGGGTGGCAGGGAGTGGCTGTGTGTGGCAGTGGGGCACTGGATTCCTGTTTGACAGAGGAATTCTTGGGATGGGCTCAAGGGGGATTTAAACATCCTTTGGCAGAAGGAGTCATTCCTAAGCTAAGAATGTGACCCTAAAAGAAATCTCTTCTTTTGTAACACCATAATCTTTTTGGTTCAAGTTTTAATAGTTACCATTTGTGTGTTTGGCAGTATCCAGGATGTTTTCATGCTGCTGTTTATCTTTCCAGTGCTCCTCAGAGTAAGCCTTGTTCTTCCCATTTTAGAGATGGCAAACCAAAGTTCCTGTTCCTAGGAAATGGAAGCTGTTTACAAACAAGGCCATTTCCTTCTAATCCTCACTCCTTTCTAGTGCCCTCCGCCCCTCCAATGGACAGAAAACTCCAGGGCAGCGGGTTCCTGTGCCCCTGCCCTTCCTGGAGCCTTCCTTCCCCAGTGTTACTGTTGGTTTGTCCTAGGCTCAGCCTCAAGTACACTCCTGTTAAGTAGTGTAAAAAGTATGTTCGAATGCAGATATACTGCAAAGCAAGCCGAGCAGATGTCACAATGTGGAAATGTGAGGAGCAAAGAAAGCTTATTTGAGGTGAGCTCAGTCCAGCAAACACAGGATCAGCCCCTGACGCGCAGGGCAACCGGGAATCAGGCATCAGCACAGAGGGTGCCTGTAGGTTGTGGTGAAGACATGATTTACATTTTGTAAGATGGGAATTTCCAAAACGGGCGATTGCACGGAAGTACCGATTACAGGGAGAGCACTGTAAAACACTGCGCTCAGCCCCCAGGTTAGTGACGCAGTTGGAAGGAATGGACTCAAGTGGTGTACTGCTTTTTAGCCAGGAAACTGCAAGTTTTGAAAGACTTAACAAATTTCCATTCAGCTTGTCAGTGGTATGCAGGCAAATTTTTTTCAATTTCAGAATTAGTCTATTTGCATAACTTTTCGTGGACAGTGAACAAGGCTGTCAGAGAATGACCAGTTTAGTTTGGCATGTTAAGAAATCTGTGACATTGTTGTCTTAGTAATGCCTACAAAGATGATAATAGGACTCCCTCCCCCCTCCCAGCTATTAGGAATAGGGTAGCATTTTTTTTAGAGTAAGTTTTTCTATTTAAATATGTAAAGCATCTTAAGGAAATAGAGCATATTCTTGGTAGATCCATTTGCCCTTATGGAGCACATGCTTACTTGGAAGCATAAAACTTACCATACCGTTTTTTAAAACATGATATTAATATCCAAAATATGCTTAAATCTTAGCCTATAAAATGAGTTTAGAGCTAATGTTATAGATTTTAAAAATCAACTTCTTGTGCAATCTTTTATCTGATATGGAATGTTGTAGTTCAGATTTTTAGCAAGATTATTTTCAAATGTGGCATTTGTTTAAATGGTATTTGCTGAAACACTGAACCTTCTGTCATACATTATCTAATTTGGTAATATTAGCATCATGCCAAGTTTCCTGCGTGCCATCTTGGTCTCTCTGTAAACTTGCAAGAGAATTACTCCCACAGACACTGGCCGTGTTACCATGTTTTAAAGCTTAGTGTCCTGAACTTTAAAATTTCTTAAGTTCCATTTATGAGGGTAGGTTAAAAAGTGGCATATTTAGATTTTGAGACATCATGCTAACCATTGCTTTACATTTTTAATTACACTCCAAATTGCAACAAATCAAAAAAAAAAGATAAACCTCAATGAGACTTTAGATATTTCTTGCTAGTAAGAATTGTTCTTGCCTTCATTTTTATTTTTAGTTTAAAAACTAAAGCCACGCCAGAAGGAGGAATGAAAATGAGAATTCCTAAATCAAGATAAACATTGTTTTCATAAAAGGGCAACATTGGGGCTGGGGATTTAGCTCAGCGGCTTAAGTACCTGCCTTGCAAGCAGGCAGGCGTGAGTTTGATCCCTGGTACTGATAAAAATGAAAGAGACAAAAAAATAAAAAGGGCAGCATTATGAAATAAACCAGAATGATGATTTTGCCTGTCATCTAAGTGTCCCCCACCCCCAGTCCCTCACGTTCCTTGTCTTGGAGACTCTCTCTGCGAAGTAGACACTAGAGAAGGCAGTGCTTGTCTCTGAATGTGTTTCGTACAGAATGTATTTTTCCTTCTCATTTCTAGCTAATAGAAATATGAAAGATATTGTGACCTTTCCCAGACACTGAGAGGTTTTATTTTTTAATTGATGCTATAAAAGCTAAATGCAAAGTTTACACAGGCCCTGACTTTGACCAGGACCCACACATCTGGGTGTCGATCTGCATTATCTGAATCCACTGAATTTTCAACTCACAGAACTTCTGTGAAATTTTCAGAAGATTCCTTACTTCCTCCTAATTTTCAGCTGAGTGGGAGGTATTTCAAGAGCTTTTTAAAAAGCTAGAATTTTAACATCTTTGTTCCCAGCACCACTTGGCTAAAGGGCTTTTAAAATAATTGTGTTAACTTCGCATTTCCTGGAAATGGCTCAAAAATGTGAAGGGTGCTCTAGAGGAAGCAAAAACACAGCACCAAAAATATTTTTATCTTAGTTCATTCTAAAAAAAAAAAGCGATTTCCTAAAAGGCAAAGATAACTACCTGATGACACTGCCTATAGAGCACTAAATCTCTTTAATTAAATTAAAAACTGCTACTGCTTTAATAAGTGAGTCAATGAATGGGTTAGTTCACATAAATAATTGTTCTACAGTCCACTAAGAAACAAAAAGAAGGAATTGAATGAAACGTTGATACTAATGTAAATGAAATAGTTGTTACTAATGGTAAACCAAAATTGAAGGCATATGCAGGATTTCCTTATATATTCACTGAAAACAATAAAATACAGGAGGAAAGTCACTACCATAGCTACAATGATTGTTCCTCAAAGTTGTGACCAAGAGATGCCTGTTTCAGTAGTTTGCTTTCCTCCTCAAGTTCAAGCCATGTAACAGTTGAGAGAATTCACAGTAAATTCTTACTTAATGCTTCCTAATAACTTCCTCTCAAGTAAACCTGATCTATCTGGATAAACGATAAAATAACCAAATCAACATTCACATGATGTGAGGCTGAATTCAGCTCACTCGTCCGATTGAGCCAAAGTTAAATTCTGATAAAGCTTCCATGGTTTCCGTGGCAGCCTCTAGCCTGCATATGTGTCACCTGTGATCCGGTTCACCGGGAAGGAAGTTGATCAGTGTCAGCCTCGTGTCCTGTTTCCCTTCCCTACCCGTATTGGCCATGTACGGGCCAACCAAGTCCCTCCAGCTCAGGAGTCATTGAGCTCAGCCGTGACTCGCTGGCAAGAATGTGCCCCCACGTCACCAGCAGGAGATGCTGCCCTGTGTGCCGTGGTGAGATGTTTGTGGGTTTCAGCTTTGTTCTTGTCTCGGTTCTCCTGGACACCTCGCTGTTCTTTACAATAAAGCTCTCCATACTAAAGGTGATTGAAAGCACCCCTTTTTCTGTGACCTGCACCCTGGTCACTGCACCCCGTTCCCTGCCTGGCACACTGCAGTGACGGGACAGACCTCCAAGGCGGCTGGAGAGGAGGCTGAGTCGCAGGACACCTGCAAAACACAAGTCGCAAGTTCCCCTCGGCGCTTTGGCTGTCTCCCTGGCTCCTTCCTTGCTCTGTCAGTGAATCCACTCCCACGCGCAGTCAGTGTGTGCAAAAGAAAAGTGCAAGGCAGAAGGGCCGTGATTGATTTAGTAACTGACCGCACATGGGTGGGGAGGAGGAGAAGCCTCTGCCAGTTTGGATTTGCGTAAAAACCAGATTTTGTCAAGCAAGATTCGGGTAGTCCGTTTACCTGCTCAGCGCCCTGTGCCCCAGATTCCTGAACACAGAATCCTGTAAAGAAGCCCTCTCTCCTCCCGCCCATGTCTCTTTAGATATAATCATGTCACACGTGTAGCTATTAATAAAGAAAACATTAAAAGGTACTCCTCTTGTTTCTGTGAAAATAAAACACAGGAAAATAATCACAGCTCTGTCTTTCCTGCTGCCCAGTGAGGCTGCTGCTTCCAAGGAACTTCACAGAAAACTGCTTTGAGTGAGGATTTCAGAAGCTGAGACTATTTCAGGTGGAAATATGCTAGTTATTATTTAGTGTAAATGCCTATTTAAAGTCCACATTCCAAAAGAGGCCATTAAGAAAATAGGAGTTAAATAAGCCAAATGATTTTAGGTGTTTTATGAAGCATAGTGAAATATTTAGGAAGCCAACAGAATTTGGTGTATATTTCTCATCCTAAAGAAAAACATTCATCTATTACTATTTCAGGATTTCATTTTGTCTTACTTTGTAACACAAATAATGTACAGAACAATGAAATAAAATAGACAAATTTTAAGTTTAAACATGTGAGTTACTTTTTGAAAGTTATGCTACCAAGAAATTGAAAGCTCTTGGGCTATTTTCAGTGTCCATCTTGCATATTTCAACAGTACAAAGACCTCGTATGTGAAACCAGCAGCTTCCCATAGAAGGTAGATGATCATAAGACAAGTGATGGACTTGTTTGGACTTGGTCTCCTTTTTTCTCTTTTTCCTACATGAGCAAACTCCATGTTTGAACCCAGTAATGAGAAGCCTGACAGATCAGCTAACAACTGGCCATTAGTGGACTTAATCCCACGGTAGCTCCCCTGGGATTCTGGCAAGAAGAGTACATGAGATCCTGGGCCACCTTCCCGTGAAAATCTAACCTAGAGAAATTATTCTGAAAGTCTTCCTTTTGCTTATATATCTTTGAAGAAGTTAGAAATGGTAAATATAATCTTCTTGGTTATGAATTTGCAAATAGCTACTAATTGGATAGTAGTTATTTTCCCATGTTAGCTATACTAGACAAGGGATAATCTTTTTATACAGCTCAGTACAAAGTAAAAGCCTTTTCTCCCCTAAGATGTTGGGAAATGAAGTGAAAAACTATTTTAATAATCTCTAAATCCTCATCATTTCTTTGTGAGTCAGTTGAAGCTGAAAAGACATGGAGCTGACCTTAAATTTAGAAAAAGTAAGCTCAGGATTTTCTAAGTGTGACTTACCAGGCGCCTATGATAAGGTTCAGTAACACTCACGTTGGTCAATGTCACCTCCTAACACTGATATCACCCAAGGTTTCTAACTGTTCTCCATTGTCAACAGGGGTAACCAATTCAAGCATCTGTTTATAGCACACACACAGCTTCCCAATGAGTGCGTAACTATGGCAACAAACATTAAACCCTAGGAAAGAGCAGGGCTGGTGCCTTAGGGTCCAGCCATGGCAGTCCCACTGCTCACTTCCTAGGTGACTTCTTTCATGAGGCCTCTCAGCTCATGGCTGGGTCACACATAAAAGGCGTTGGGGCTTTGTGAAGCCATGCTCTAAGTGGGATTCATAACTACCAGGACCGTGGACAAGCTGAGAAACCATGAATTGATCAAATGCCAAATATAAAACAATTATTACAGATACACACAAATAAAATACTGAATTCTATAAGATGTAAGGATCTTTTTCAATTAGCAATCACTGTGCCTTGGATGAACTCCATTGGCCATGATACTGACAGTGCTTGTGCAGCAATCCAGTGACCAAGGTTACCCCAACAGTGGTTCATCGTACTGTTAAATGTCTGGAAGCTCATGGCTACTGCTTGAGGCACTTCTTGTAATCGGAGAGACCAAAGGCAATGTGTATTAATCTCAGGATGGCTCAATAAATTTAGTATTAAGGAAGGCCTGTTCACATTCATCAGTCCAGTTAAGTGAGTTTTGAGTTTCTCCCTTATGGGAGTCATATAGAGGCAAGCTTTTCAGTAAAATTTAGCCTACAGTATCCAACCGCCCCCAGAAACTCTTGTCTGTTTTTTTTTTTTTAATTTTCTCTCATAGAGCAATTCTAACCCCTTGGTTATCTTTTTGTAAATTTTCTAGTTCTCAAAGACCTTTTGTGCTATCTCTATTAACTGGCTGAGGGGCATTTCCTCAATCCTCTCAAACCTTTGCAATTTTTGTCTAATATGTGGGGCCGACTGAGTTGCAAAGAGAACAGCTGGCGATACTGGGAAACCTCCTTACCTCTGGACGTCCAATCGGGGTGGCACAAAAGGAGAACATGGTTGCGGCATTCCGGGTCAGAGAGCCAGCTTCATTTGGATGGCACACCGCCTTTTGTCCACGGGTGGCACGTGGCAGGCCATCATTTTACTGAAATTACATTCTTAACAAAAAAGGGCTTTTTCATAGGTAACAAAATTGTGCTGCATAATCTCCCAGATGTTCACAGCACATGCAAGAACTTGTATCTTATCTCTGGTATCATCTATAATCTCATTTTAATGGAAACATTTTGCAGCAAAGTACAATCTTATGATTGTACCAAAACTGATCTAATACTGTCAAATTCTGAACACATTTACTTCTTGTCAAACCTGTTATTTGCTGTACTATAAACCAAGACAAATAAAATTTATATCCTCTTGAGTTTTTTTACAACTTACAATATACCCCCCAAGTTAAGCTTTTATCTTTTTTTTACATTCTGGCACAGCCAGACATTTTTACTTGAAGACAAAACCACTTTTTTTGTCCCTCTTTTTACTATTACCAGTCAATTACCTTTTCTCTCGCTACTCAGACAACATCAAAAACTCTCAACAAAACCTTTGAAGTCACCTTTTAGTAGTCTAAAACATATTTAATTATTTTTATTTGATGTCTTTTTACCACATAAAAATGCTGTATTTTAAAAACAAAACTGTAACCTTTTAACTGGCTCAATATATAGTACGACCTGGTTTTATTTGGTAAAGTTGATATAATTCTTAAAAACCATATATATACACATATATGTGCACATATGTTTACATTTTAACCAGAAAGAAAAATACTCCTTTTAAAAGGCATGTCGAGTTTGCAAGCAATCAATTGAGGACTAACATATTAAACAAGGTGCCACATTAAAGACACAAACAAAGGGTGCTTCATGCACAGTTTGGTGAGCTAAAGGAAATAATTTCTTCTTATTATGAACCTTGAATCTAATAAGCCATATGGATCCTGCAACAGAAACGGGCAACAAGCCCCTAAGTTAGTAACAAATTTAGACGGGCAAACAATGCTAAAGTACAAAAACTCTGAACATAAGTATCTAAATCCCTTAGTCTGTTTTGGGCTCGTAGAAGGGGTTCCTCGGAGAGAATGTTCTGTTAGATTTGGGGTAACCAAAAGGAGAACAATTAGAACAAATGGACACACAAACAGACATACAAGACAAGACAAGCTGCAGCAAAAATAGCCTTTGCTCCAAAAAAAAAAAAAAACCTAACCAATTATTGGGTCTCTGGAGAGACTTAGCAAATTAGCAAATTCCAAAAAACCAATTGACTCTGTCCTCGGGAGGTTCCCACTGCAACAGAGCGGTTCCCCACCCGGGGCAGAGTCACAAAATCAACGAAGCGGTTCCTTACCCTGGTCGGAGCCACAAGTGGACGGAATTCATCCCAAAACCAACTGACTCTGACCTCAGGAGATCCACACTCCCAAAGTTTGAGGGCGTCCCCTCCAAGCATACAACTTCAACTGACCGCGGCCCAAACAAACCTCTTCAGAGTACTTACTTTCAGATGTTCAGAAATGGGTCTGGGGTCTTGCTCCCATCCCGGACCGAGCCCCCAAATGTGATAACTTGGACCCGGTATAAAAATCCAAGGAAGCAAGAAATTAAAATTTTGGAAGCAAAGGCTTTATTTCCAGGCCTGGTGACACAGCCTCCAGGAGCCAATTTGGAGACTGCGTGCCTGACAGCTAAAAGTCAGGGCTTTTATCTTGTAAATCCACAAACAGCTGCTGGTCACACAATGTAAGGAAGGGGGTGGGGGTGTGACGCACTACAAAGCAGAAATGGCAATTGCAAGTCTCCCTGCATACTAGCAAGCTTAGATAAGAAGAAATCTTGTTTTTCTCAGCAAAGAATAGAGAAGTCTAGCAGCAATTAACAACCTTAGTTACCTTACTCTAGCATCACAACTGTTATTTGTAGAGGGCAACAATGGTTAACATATCAATTAGGTAAGATTTTACAGTTCTTTACAGAGGAGAGCATTGATTAACCTATCAATCCTTTACTCAGAGGGAAAAGGAACACACAGGTATTGCTATGATACAAACGAAGCTATTACAATGTAATGCAATTAACACAATTTGTGATGGGCTACCGGGTAGGGAAGACCCCAGTTGTCAGGAGCTATTACCTCAGTCCTTTGTTTTATGGCCTTTAGGAAGTTAAAACTTAACCTAGTTAGATTTGAAGGGAGAAGGGGAGGGGAAGCAGCAGGTGGCGCTTATACAGAACAGACTTCGGCGCGATAGTTAGGGGGCCTTAGGTTATAACATGTGTACATTTTTTTGGCAGACTGTGTATATGTAATAATAGTGTCACATATGCTTACTAATAACAGGGCTGCAGTCAATGATTTAAAAGGAAGAAGTAAAATGATCTATAGCCCATGACCCTGAAAAACTGATATTGGTGTGTTGCATAACCGGTGTCTGGTTTCAGCAGTTCTGGGAATACCATAGTTATGCTTCTTGGTTAGAGCAAATCATATGCTTTCTGTTAAGGTCATTTGGTTGTAGACTTTTAAAAATCCCTGCCTAAATCTGACTGTACGAGACTCCCTTAGCCTGTGAGCCTCTGCTGTCTTGGGGTCTATCTCAGGAATGACCCGCAAAGCCAGTGTCTGGCCCGGGGCCCCTCAGGACAGCAGCACTGCACCCTTGGGTCTGTGTGCCACCATTTTTCTTAGCCTTTTCCCCAAGGGGCCAGAGTCCAAGTCTGTCCCAGGTAAATGAAGGCCCAGAAAGCTTCCTGTAAAGGTCCATGTAAGGAATGTGTCAAGCTTTGCAGGCCAAGAAACAAAAGCAAGGATATTATTTAGGTGACTTAAATAATAGAGAAAAATAGTTCTAAGTTAGAAATGTCTAAAAAATGCTTTCAGTTGACAAGATGTATATGAAATAGTAGTAATTGAGTATCACAGTATTTATTTTGAGTAACAGACCAAAAAAATTTTTAATACTAATAAAAATACACAATTCTCCCTTTTGGAGGGAAGGGATATAGCATTTTGCTTAATGAATTCACCTTTAGTGTTTTTTGTCAATAAAATCAATGACAAATATTTTTCTGCTAGTCAGTCTGTGTTGAAACTTTAAGGATTACATTGTTTGAAATGTCTTTCCACACAGAGCATATTGCCGCATACAGCTATCAAGTCCACTGGCATGTTTTTATCAAGTTTAAAACTTGAAACACATTAACACAGTTCACCCAGATTCTTCTCTTGGCCTCTTCAGATTAATTACCCCCAATTGAAGTGCAAGCAAAAGCATCTCAATTATACAGTTTAGTAGATCTTGAAATATGAAAATTTGTTTCCACTTGCATGGAGATATGAAAAGTGCTGTTGGAATTACAGTTTAAAAATCAGAAAAAGTACCCAGAAAATTAGAGTTGGGATACTTTGATTTGAGTTTTAACTTTTCCCACCATACTTACAATTGCCATTCAAGAAAATATTAGTTGCCAAATGGCTTGTCATATAGTTTTATAGCAAATTTATTAAGAAATGGTCAGGTGGGTAGCAAAACCCCAAAGCCATGTAGCATTCAGTAACACCTATTACAGTCAGTTCTTCAAGAAAATTTTGCAAGCTTAGTAAAGTTATGCAACCTGGCTGGTGTTTGGCTTCACATCTATTTTCCCACCATTAACACATCTTAGCAGATTCAATTCAGATAGCACTAAATTAGTGCCTTCTCTGGCTTTTTAAAACAGTGCTCTCTCCTGTAATTATCCCACATAGCCTGTTCACAGACCATAATTGTTGAGTCATGTCAAACCTGTTATTGCTTTTCAAGTAAATAACAACTAAGCAGTCTTGATAACAGCTGATAATTCATCAAGAATAAGAAAAACCACTAAAACCCAAAAGCACAATTGACTTTATTTTAAAATTTTTCTGCTATTGTAATAAAATATAATTTAATTAGCTCACTATTTGTAAATAGATTCCTTGCTTAAAGTAATGAACACCTTACATACTTACTTTGGGTATAGCCCGACTTTTATTTTGCTTTTTGTGCAGAAATTCTGTTGCCATGAAACAATCCATCTTAAATTTTCTCATTTTTCTGACGGTCGCTTTTCTCTGAGCTGGAAACGTTTTCAGCACGTGCTTGTCCCGGAAGTTCAATGTGTAATGCACTCTTTCAGTGGCCCAAGCGTCACTTCACAGCAAAGGAAGTCTTCAGCCATCTAATTCAAAATGAGACGCCCGCGCTGTGCCGCACCCTCGGAGAGCAGCTTGCAAAGCGTAGCCCCCTTTCTCCGGGCCCCATTGGCGTACCCCAGGGCTCCCCGACTCACGCGAGCCTTTAAGCTCTAGTAGCAGCCTGGTAGGCTCAGTGCTCCAAGAGCCACGGGCCACGTGAGCCACGTGTGATCCCCGTGGTAAGTACTATCACTGCCGGCATAGTGTGACAGCACTGACACACCGTGCACAAATAAGTGAGCAACTTACATAAAAAACACAGTGACATAGCTGTGCTCCAATATCATTTTATTGATAAACACTGAAACTGAATCTCATACATTTCTTTTGGGTATAAATATAGTACTGGGCAAATTTCCTCCTTCATATTGCTGCCATTTATCTGCTTATCCAAAAGAAGGAAGAGGTTGAGGTCTTCAGGGACCAGCTCTGGAAAGCTTACTTCCCCCCTAGCGTCCTGGGGTTCTAATTCTGTACTGAGGGAATGAAGGAGGAATCAACTTCTATAATCTCAAATTGAGATTTAGGATTAATAGTATCTCAGGATCACCCTTGAGAGCATTTCCTGCCTTGTTCTCCTTAACTCAATGGAGAATAAAGGGGCAAAATATTTGGAAACTTTTCAGATATGCAGACTGCTAAATCTCACTCAGTTCCACACTGCTGGCATCCTTTTTTTTGCAGGCTTCATATGTAAATTAAAGCTTTCTCTGTCTGCCTCCCCTTTCCAAATACCTGCTTTGAGAAGAGAAAGGCTGGAGAATTTAATTAGCGCTAGTACTTGCGGAAATGCACCTCCGGCTCTGATACTAGCACCCAGCGAGCGTTCTCTGAAATGATACCGCACCGGTTTGCCGTGCAAGAGTCAAACATGGTGTTTGCTTTTCTGAGAAGCTGAAGAAGAGGTAAAAGATAAAGCAACACTGTGTCACACCCACTTGTGTACACACTTGTGTGCTGAAAGTGAGACCTGCTTTGGTAATCTCAGTGCCCATCTTGCTGAGCAGTCCCTACTAGTGTAAGAGAGGGAGCCCTGCTGTGCACACGTGCTGAGCCTCCCAGCTTTCCGGATACCGCATCGTCTCATACAGAATAGAACTAAAGGACGAATTTCCATCTGCCAAGGAGAGCGATGAGATTAATCAGAGAAAGGGGACAGAGCTGTAATGGAGGGCATGGAGAATTTCTTTAGGGAAATGAGACTGCAAAGAAAAACTCGAAAAAGCAAGGGATGTTGTGAGACACACGAGAGTGCGTTGGGTAGAGTTTCATTCTCCTTTCTTCTCGTTGCTTTTCCACCCAGGAGTTTGCCCATGGCAAGATGATCCATGCGTGTGAGATGTTTAACTCAGTGGAGTTTGGGGACACATGGTGGCTTGGGGGAAGATGGACTGAGAAATGGGCAGAAGAGGATGCAGGGCACGTTCTCAGGAAGGGAGAGGGTCAGACCTGTGGAATTATTCAGTGCTTTCAATTGTCTGTCTCTTAGTTGTCTTAACTATTTTGCAACTCTGTACCGGTAAGAAACAATAGGAAATGCAGGCGAATATTTTCCATTGCATTGCAAGTGAAATACACTCATTATGGGTACAATTAACCTTAAAGATCTACTTCATTTATCATTGCCCTGTATAAGCCATTTTCAAAGTGTTATTCGGAGTTCACACATGTGTGAGACCCATCTGGAGGCCTCCAGGTCTAAACTGTCTTCATAATAATTCTAAATATATCTCCCTTTTCTACTTTTATTCTCTCACGTGTTCACGGAGGAGTTTTCCAGCTACATGACATATGATATCACCACAGACGAATGCCGAGGCACATGTGAGGCCCAGATGTTCTCCATTAAGCTAGGATTTAAAGAGATTTGCAGAAATGTAAAACAGTGCCACTCTTCTCACTAAACGTATGTTTATTTTGGAAAATATGGCCAATTTTCATAAATACATTATTTAGGTTATGATTTAAAGAATCTCTCACTTAATTATGTAGCAATTCTACTTCTTACACTATTTCCATTTTTATACTTAATTTTTAGTATATATGCAACTTATTTTGCTGCATTGCAATTTAATTGAGTTATTACCTCAATCCTTTACTAGTAATTTTTCTAAATCATTTCAAATCGCATCTCTATCATATATTAGAGTTTTATACATACTTGGTTATCTTGGATCTTTTAGTGTATTATATTATTCGGCCTGGATTGTAACTAGTAATAAAAATTTTAAATTATTGAAATTGTATTTTAATGTGTAGGATGCCCTTGCTAGTTTTTTTTTTTTTTTTTTTTTTTTTTTTTTGGTCTTTTTCATTTTTATCGGTACCAGGGATGGAACTCATGACTGCCTGCTTGCAAGACAGGCACTTATGCCGCTGAGCTAAATCCCCAGCCCCGCCCTTGCTATTTTTTTTGCACTTCTTGTCCAAGATAAAATTCTCCCTAAGAAAATTAAACATGTTCAAAATTACAAGTAAACATACGAACGAT